GGGGAATGGCAGTCCTGCTGTATTTAATTTTAAAATTTGTTTTTTAACAACTGAATGTATTTTAAAATATTTTTTCCCCAGAAGTCCTGTATCATAGCAGCAACAAACCCAAAACATACTTCATTTAAAACTTTACAACCCATCCAGTAAAAGGGGAAATTCTTATTACTCCTTTCCTGCTCCGAACCAGATTTTAGCAACAAAAAGAACATCATCATCTTCTTACTCAGTATATCTCTTCCACATGTGTTTAAGTCATATCTGGTTTCTTTACCAACTAGAAACATCTATTTCCTTTTAAAACTCTAGCCTGTTCACGAGATGCACTTGTAGGTTGTAAGCCAGGTTTTGTGGGGTCTCACAAGGCAGCTGTTGCAGCTCACTATAAAGTCTTTTTTGACACACTGAAAAGTATGTCAGAGGAAAAAACCTCCATAATTTTCAGATTCCACACCAAGTGTTTCACTCTGGCACGGGAAGGGTCAAGAAATCACATTTTCAGATATGAAGGGCATAAACTGAATCCACTGAAAACAGATGAAACGTTAGAAATGGAACTGCTATTGTTACCTTTCAAGCATCGTTTAATATTGTTTCTTCTTTATAAGCGTATCCGCCAACAGCAACAGAAACCAACAGTTTTCTGTAACAAGGGTTTATTGCATTTGTAGGCCAACATTTCACTAACACCACAGGGAAGAACGTCTGGGATGTCTGTTTGGTCTGTTTAATCTTGTCATAAAAAGCAGGAGCACCATTGGGGATTATCTAGAAAAGGTGCTTATCCTGTAACATAATCCTTAGTCCTGGTTTACTTTCCAAGTATGAATTTCACTTTTTTTTTTTTTTTTGAAAGAAAAGAAAAAACAGCAAGCAAAAAAAGAAAAAGAAAACCCACTGAAGTTATTGATCACTTACCACTGCCCAAGTCAACAAACAAATCATCCTCTGTCATTTTAATTTCATCTATCATTTGGGCCACTAAGTCAAAAGAAGTTTCTCCGTAAACCTCTGGGGAAAAGGGCTCATAGTTGTTAAGTTTCTCTGGATCAGTCACCGAGTGGTTATACACTTGCTGCAGGATGTGCCGGAGGAGCCCGTTGGAGGGACGAGTGTTCAGTTTCATCGGCTGGGTGGTTCCCTTCCACTAAAGGTAAAGAGCAGGAAGAAGATATGAAGCCAACGTGAGGACGACGAAACGTCACCAAAACAAGGCTGCATCGGCACAACATAGAAATGAGAGAAATTCCCTCCCATCCCCTCCTCACAAGCTGGTCTGCAGGTGCTCTGTAAAGATAAAACCAGTGAACGATACTAAAGAAATTACACACCACCTTTACTTTGTCTCACCTGAACTGATAGGTAATTTCAAATATGAAAATTAAAAGAAATGAAAGAGATGTAAAACTCAATAGCAACGTAAAGCTTAATACTGAATATAGTTGGAGTAGGTGTAAAAGTTTGTTCACTCATTTTTTATTTGCTGATCACCACTGAACTGATGTTGACCGTACTGTACACATAAGAGCAGTTTCATTTTCTTTCAGGAACTGTAGGATGGGAGGGATCATATGTACTCAAACAGGGAGTGGCAGGAAAGAGATGGAAATCAAGCTTCCTTTCTTCTTCAGAAAAAACCCTGTCCTAAACATAAAAGTTGTTAAGTTTTAAAAACGTTTACCTCTCCCTTTGATAAGGAAAAACAAACAAAAAAAGGACAACTCCAGGATCCCTCCTAAACATTGCTCTGTTTGAGATTCAGATGGTGAGAAGAAAATGAAACCATCAGGTTTGCCACTTCAGACAGCAATTGCAAATGCTGAGTAGCTTCAAATGTTTAGCTGTTAACTAACATACACCTGAAGATGCCTGAATCCAAACAAGCACAAGTTTTAGGGATTTGTAGGCCCACAAAGTGAAGGAAAGCCTGGCAAAAAGGTCTTGTCGCCATAATACTGCACGCTTCAAATAATTCTCACAAGCACAGCAGAGAAAAAAATCCACTCGTACTTTCAAAATTGAACAGCATAGTAACATTAATTTATTGTTCATGTTTTGCTTCCTCCAATTCAACCTTTTATAGGGATAAGAAAACCAAAAAGCTTGTTAAATTGGTCTGAAAAGAGATTACATTCTAGTTTTGCCAGAGCGATCCCACAGAACAGAGCAGCTGACCTGAGTGGCAAGCAAGGAAATTCCTAAGCCATGGATCACTTCCACAACACACAGGAGAGTTCATATGGATTATTTAAGTACCCATAAGCCACAGATTTCCCCACGCAAAAGTAAATCTATATGACAAATCCCTGTGAAACATCTACAAGCTAAATGCAGAGAAACTTTTTCTTCCCCCTAAAGGTAACTCAGCTATTTCAAAGTGCCAAAACAACAGCGCCAGAAGCACATACTAAAGAGTAATAGCTTACAAATCTGCAGTTTGGGGAAAAAAGAATTTTGTTTTCTTTTCTTCCTTTAAGAACGTCCCTCCAATACTAACTCCTTGACTGCCTAGGTGTGATCAAGAAAATAAGGTTTAATATCAGACTTCTTAACTCCCCAAAAGAATGGAAGTGCTGAATACTGGTGATGCAACTAGACTAACACATACAATCCAGCGCTAAGTCATTCACCGCTTTCTGGATATTATTCACTCTATGGGAATTCAAACCAGCTAGATAAACATCATGGTGCATTATAAAGGTAAATACGTACCAACTGATGAATGCTATCGATGGCTCGGTTGTACTTGTCACAAAGCCTCTGCATGCTTTCAAAGCTACGTGGGGAGAAAAAACGCAGGGTCAGTGAAAAACAGAGCTCTAAAAGGCAGGTTTGAAGGTACAACCTTGGGCTTTTTTGCCACCTACTTACAGCAGGTATGATGACTATTTAGGGTTTGTTGCTTGCAGAACGTGTAATTACATACACAGCTTTAGGACTTTGTATACAGTTTCCTTTAAAAAAATTCCCCAGTAGGCCAGGAATACACGACAAATTATATTAGTTTCTTTAATTAACAGAAGAAGGACTGAACTCCAAGTATGACTTATTAGGAAGTTTTATATTCTCATAGTTCATTACTACTTTTCCGTATTCTCAGCTGCACAGAAATTTAAGACATCTGTAAATTTTTCTCCTTTGTTCCATCATCTCTCCACGATAATCAGTCCTGAGACAAATAGACACTTCTAGAAATTAACTCTGGGCCTGAAAATGCAGACAGACCCAGGACACAACCTAAAATTCCACCCATCAGAAAAGCTCACTGATTGCTTCATGGGTTGGTTGGGATTACAGTCGGTTCAGGCAGATGCCTTAATGGCAGAAGCTGAGAGGATTAAATAAATTCATCTCAGGCCAGGGAAGAAAAGATACTACTCCTAGTAGTACACCAGGCGCTACGCAATCAAACCCACAAAGCAGCAGCAAAAAAACCAGTCCAAACAGTTACAGGAGTAAGGTAATTAAATCATGGCCATCGCCAAATCAGGAAGGGGGCGGGGGGACAGGGGACATCAGAAGTGGCTCTTCAGTCTCTTGTGATCCTCATCAGCGCTGCTCGGGCTAGGACACCTCTCCGAGGAGTACTCCCGGCTCCCACTTCAAGCTTCCGACTGCCCACGTTGTCCACGTTAAGACAAAGCAAGAGGCTGAAATGGGTTTTTGTCTGCACAGTGCGTGCATTTCTATAACCCGCTGCTTTTCATTCACATCCATGTGTCAGTCTATCCGCCACAAGTAATTTGTTCTGATGAATTTTTTCAAAGTAAGTAAAAAGATTAAAACCATTACCAAAATTACAGGTTTATGACTTCCTTGAAAAGCTGCAGAAAGGTAAGTGGGGTGTGACTTTTGGGAACAGATGGGTTTCTCTTTTATTCGGTTTTGCTGCTGACCACACCAATGCTACCCAGTTAAACATCCCCAATGAGGATGCCAGAACTACAAAAGTTACAGCATTGCAGTCACTGTGAGTAACCCAGAAATCCAAATTAATGGATTTGATGACAAGGGATGCTCATCCCCGATTTCTCCTTTTGAATTTTTCAGGAGGAAGAGGGGGACTAACAAGTCTTGCAAGGAAACAACTAAAACAAAATTAAGAGAGGAGAAAGCAATACCTTAAGCAGATCATGATACAAGTATCTGGTGCTCAGGACAGCAACCAGTGATCAGAGTGATGCAGTTTCATCTATAAACCTCATTCTAAAAGTTTAGGCATGCTACAGACTTGAACAAATTCAGTCTTTGCCATGAAAGCAACTAAGGAGGTTTTTGTAACCTGCAGCTTGAGGGTCACCTCTTTTTCCAGTCTCAGTACGGCCAAGTCAACGCACAGAACCTCAGAGCTCTCCACAGATGTACCGCAGGTCAGAATCTGCCTCTCCCAGCCTCAAGCTGAATGCCACATACTATACGGTCATTTTAAGCTGTTTGTGGAATAGGTATTCACATGTAACTATAGTTTGCCTTTTAATTTAGCCCCTCACCCAAAGAGCATCCCACTTGCACCGAATCCTACCCAGAGAAGGGATGGGGAAGGTTAAACTCCCACAGTCAGGGCAGGCGGAGGACATGGCGCTGAGAGACAGCTCTGGCATGCCACTTTCTAAACAGGAATTCTTAGTTACTACAAAAGTAGAAACCTCAGTGCCATTCAGATTCCTAACGCTGGATGCAGTCCAACAGCGCAGATACCGATCATTGTTTCGGAATGAGTAATTCCAACATACACCAGAGCTCAACTTTCTGCTGTGTGGAGTTTCCAATTATGTCCTTAATCCAACAGCCTTTGCCAATATTTCTGTTACACATTTCCTACCAAAATAACTCTGCAGAGTCTGAAGCCAGTTCTAAAAGAAAACTTCAGTTCATAGTGTCTAAGAATAACCAGTTACAAACTGATTCACTATAAACCGTCCTGGCCTGTCCTCTTGGTGGGAAAAAAAATATTCCTCTCACCTTTTCGTATCATAGTCAATTAAAACATAGTTTTCCATAGCAAGCTTGAGATCTGGGATTTCTTCACAGACCCACCTGGAACGAGAGAAGAAATAACGAATAAAAACATCTCCAATTAAGTATAATAAGGCAGCCTGTCTCAATTCTAGACTGGCATTGCTGTATGTTAAGACAGAATACTGCAGCAGACCTGAAAGATCACAGTAGTGTTAGGAGTAAGGCAGACATCGCAAAATGTTAATTGGAAAGCTGCAATAGTTCGCATTTGTAGTGAATAAACAGTAAGGTGCCCATAGACATTGGCAGTAGTATAAAGCTCTCGAAATGGCACAACTTCAAAACAAGGTGATAAATGTATTCAATGTGTCTAAAAATACTCAAAGCTGTGGCTGATGCTAATCTAACATAAAACATAATGCAGAAGTGCAATATTTCGAAAGAACGCTGATACGGTAACAAGCTTTGACAAAGCTGGATGTGAATCTCCTACAGCACCCCAAAACAATGCCACCAACCATTCATTGCAAGGATATTCTCCTCTGTGCAGTGCTCTAAACTGCTCTTACCTCTTACATGACCCAACCCAAACCAGATTTTCAAAAGTTATTTTGCTAAAAGATCCCTTTTACATGCCGAGTTAACGAAGCCCTGTATGTTGTTGCCATTAGAAATGGAAAGCGCGCACCCACTTGCGGCGCATCTCACAACAGCATCTTACAGAAGAGGAGATCTTCACTCTTGGAACGCAGGAAGATTAATTCCTTTCAAAGACAACTTAAAAGGCACATAAGCTTTGCGCACACCTTCCTCCAAAAGCATCAAAATGGGAAAGCACTAGCATCATCAAAAAACCTCAGAGCATGTCATAAGATGAACTCCAACAGGAACGGCAGAGTTTCTTCTCCACACACCTTGATGCACGCTTCACTATTAACATGGTGGAAAAAAAGTGACCAGAGCTCCAACAGTTCTGGTTCCTTCTGGCTGATTCACCCTTATCAAATAAATACATAGGCAAGAAAAAACAGAACTTCTATATCTATGGCTCGCTCTCTTCTGACTAATACCTCCCACCTCCCTAAAAATGTTAGAACTCTGCTCTCTGCAAATTTTTTTCTCTTAGATCAGGGAAACGGGCAGTCAACAGTTGTTTACCACTGGCTTGAAGAGATAAATACTTCTTTGCATTCTTTTAGCCAACTCTTTCAGAACCGCATTGCGGTTACTTTGCACAAGGCAGGATGAAAGCCTTCTAACATGCTGTATTCACTGCAATCGTGCTTAAAACAGAGTTGTGAAACATTACGTTGGCCCAACTGCTTTCTAACAGAGTTCTCCCCTTGCCTGCAGCTAGTGTAGCACAGAAAGCACGAGCACCGATGACTCCGGCAATCACTTGCAGCACCACATCTGTTTCAATCCCTTCAGAAAGGGTCTTCTCCATAATCATACTGACAAACGATGCCACAAGTTCCCAAGGCACAGAATCTTATCAACATCAGTACAAGTGCACTAGAAGTAGCAGTGGCAGTGCATCTCGTGTCAAGGTTTTGTAGGTAGAAAAAGAAATTTCTTTAGAAGAAAAACTCTCAGCTCTAGCCCCTAGCCCCATTACGCATTCTCTCCCATCACAGACCATGGGAAAATGCTATGATTTCATGTATATAAGTGATATTATCAACACTATCACGCAAGCACTTTGCTCTCACGCTCATGCTGGGAGCAAACGAGGCTCACTACCTTTTCCTGGGCCATATGTGACTGACCAAATTTCGAGCTCAGGTGGTTAGGCAGGTAAAACACCATTCTTTGCACCTCACCTCCATCTGCACCATCCAACCATTAAAACCTGCTGCAGATACAGCCCTCAGACAAGGGACGCCTGTACGGTAAGGATCAAAAACAGTTAACAAGAACAGCTTTTAAACAATCTAATGTGGATAACACATTAACATCCCTCAGGTGTTTGGGGAATTTGCGTTAGCATTTAATAGAAGTTGTTCTACAGCAAGCCCCCTCCTAACCCTCCTGAAATAACAGCAAGCCATGTCATAACCACTGCCTGCGTTGGGAAATGCCCAGAATTCCTACTCCTCATATTTCTCTTTCACCTTTATCCTCCCGTTTTCCCCACACTGGTCCAACGCTATCAACAGAATTAAGAGGAATGCTAATAGGGACATCATTCCCAAATAATGCAAATGCTAACAATGCTGCAACATCACAGCGACAAGGGGAAAGGGAGAGGGTGGGGAAGAGGATATGCAAGACCAGAACTTAACACATCACACCAACGATGTTTTCGTAACCTTGCTTTTCTAAAGATGGAATACAGACTGCCATAAGCACCACAGTTGAATACCACTACTCATTTTTAATTCTTTCCCAAAGAGAATAGAACATGGCAAGTTAAAACAAAGTCCATTTGACAGGGAGATTTGTATTGCAACAACATCAATTCAGCTTAGAAAATAATTTAGAGCTGCTAAATTATAATTATAACTGCTGCCCTCCTTTATACCTTGTCTCAAGACATCCATTCACCGAGATGCAGTAAGATACAGGAAAGGGTTCTGGCCACGTCTGCATTGAACACTTACCGAATTGTCTCAATAATTTCATGAGCAGCATCATGGTGTTTATCCTGAAATAAAAAGAAAAGAAGAGATGTTTTCAAAGAGACATCAGGTGTACTGTTTGTCAGAAGATTACAGGAGTCATAATCTTTTTAAGAATATAGGTGGCAAGCATGCCAGGAAAGGAGTCTTTGATTGCCACCCAGGCCATTAAACCCATCAAAATGAGCCCTCTAAGAAAAAATAAGGCTTAAGGAAATTCATTTTTCAAGTTTCTATGGACTAGCAGAAGATTTACATGAAGGAACTGTCACTCTACTTATTTCTTTGTCATTTCCTGAAATCAGGAATTGTGTAGCTGATACCCTTGAGGGTTATTGGTATGCAGTAGGCACTTGACTACAAGTTCCACAATGAACAGCTGATTTCATCGACCTAGCATCTGGTACATGCTCACATCTCCATATGGGCAGTAAGAGTCTAGCACAGTGAATGGCTTTCTAAAATAAAACATCAAATAAACAGTAGGAGTGGATATCAGTGCAGAAAAAAAGCAGTACAAAAAAAAAAAAAAAAGAGGAGGCCTGAATATGCAGACCTTTTCATGAACTGAAAAACAAAACACATTAAAACTTGTGCATTACAAGTATACACCAGACTGTGAGCCACAGATGCTTGTTGACTTTAATTTGGGAGCTTACTCAGGAGCAACAAAAGCACAAGTTTAGCAAGCCATTCCAAATTCGTGCTAATAAAGCCCTTGGAGCTGCATGTATATGCACCATGCTACAAAAAATCCTATTTTATGGAAGTTACAGGAGTTCCTATATATACTGTTGTATCCATCTTGTGAAGCCTTAGTTACCAGAGTCCATCTGCACAAAGTTGAGGTTATATTTAGACATTTGTTTCTTGAAGCGACTTTGACCTTTTAATTAGGAGTCTAGTATCTAAGGACCTTCCAGAGTTAGAAGTGTACAGGCACACTCGCTCTCGAATAATTTCCCTTGTCTTCTGCTGCAGAAATGTCATTTCTAGAGTGTTACCGGGGGAAATTCTATAGCAAAGGGTAGGGACAGGCAACAGAAAGCAGAGGATTGGGGGCAGGGGAAGGAAAGGAATGGAAGAAGAGAAACACTAATGGACAGATGACAGAAACCCACTAGGATTATTTCTATTTCTTCAAGACGTGGAAGGACATGATATAAGTCAAACAGAAGCTTTTTCCATCAGTATCACAGCTTTCATATTTGCATGTGGAAAGAGATTTCCCCTTATATAACCAGTCTATATACTTAGGATCAGCCAGTCTTGTAGAAGTTCTCATTCCAAGAAACTTGTACACAGCCCTTTAGATACCTGGATAAAAATCTCATGACTGAGAGGGACAGAAAGAAAGGCGAGCATATCTGAAGTCTGTTCTATTAAAGGTATGAAGGAACACTTCCTATTTTCCTAGTAAAAGTTTTTATTTTCAGAATGCAAAAAAAGTTAACTCCCCTATCTAGGAGTCACACGAGAGACTAGTCAAAGAAAAACAAATCATTCCAGTTACAACATCAAAAAGGAGAAACAGCCAACATAAAACTAGTCGGGACATTTGGGATGGAATACAGAGAGGCCTAGAAGCCGAGCGTTACCTTGGTCATGTTTTGTAACAGCAAACGCCCCGAACGTCGCAAGCCCTGCAAACAGATCTGGGGTTGGGCTTCCTCCAGTCCGTGGCATTTGCTCAGGGCCTGGACTGGGACAGCCCAGACCAACAGAAACCAACAGCACCAATAAACAGTCAGCCAATTTACGACCAGAAATATCAGGCAAGTAATTCTATCGATAAATCTTGGCCTAGAAAACAGGGAAGCAACTGAACTAAAATCTGCTCCTGACTCTCCGTGCACATACACAAGAAGAAAAAAGCATACAGCAGGAGGACTTTTCTTTCTTTTCATTTCTTATCTGCAAAGTATAAAAATAACCCAAGACAGTCAGCTCATCCATAAACATCCCCTATACATTTTCACCTTTCGCTACGCGCAGAATTATCACAGTAGAAACCCCTTGGGCTGATCTAGCTCTTCCAGTAAACTGTGTTCCTGTATAGTAAGAATATGCTTTATCAACATAAGCTCGTTATACCGGAAAAGTGAATTCATGCTTATTCTGGCATAACCGTTTTCTCTGAAGAAGTCATATTCTTCACTGATGGTTTTGGACAGTGTCAGTGCTAGCAGAACACACAGAGAAACCCCTTGTCCTACAGGTCTTCATAAAAACACCCCTATAAACGGCCAAAATTGCTTAATTAACAGATTCCTTTGTCTTGGGCTAAAAAGTGAAAAATAAATTAAAAAAAGAAAAATCACAATGCACATCTACAACTACAGATCATCCAATTTCAGCAAGTGGTTTTACTAACACAACCTCAAGTGGAAACTCCAGCCAGAAGGGGCCTGAGTTTAGTTTGTGTCATTATCTAGGAATAATGAAGTTGGAAACAGTTCCACGTTTACTGCTGCTAAACTTCTCATGTTGAAACACTTACCAAGTTTACTATACTCTATAACTAACATACGTTGTCCAAGTAGACAAGCTCCCAAGGTCTCACGCAAGTCTTGCAAACAAAATCGGAGACAATCTCCTAACGTTTCTTCAGAGCGGAGAAGGCCATGGAAAATGGAGGAGGGGTGGGGAACAGATCTAAAGGAAATACCAAGAGGTTTCCCTTTAGAGAAACTTTTAGTCCCATTTCAACATTACGGTTGTAAAGTTTAATAAGAATAGACATTAAACAGCACCAGTCATCACATCTGTATTCGTGCAATTGTTTATGACACTGATAGAGAGCCATCAGCAACTCAAAGGGCAAGTTGAATAGAAACCTCACCAAAACCACAGACCCCGCTCCGACCAGCATCAGCCTCTGCCCGCCGTCCTTTCAAGCGGATGCGCTGGTTTTGGCCAGACACACAACCGAGCTCAGTGCAGCAGCTTTAACCCAGATCCTTTTACAGACCCGGTGGAGGAACACTGAAACCAGCAGGTTGGGAGAGGGACTGACAGCAATTCCCGATGGCGCTGCTGCAATCGCAGCAGTCTGACAAACCTTACACCTGGCTCAGCCAACAGCCAACCCAGCACATCCAAAGATGGCCTGAAGCTCCTCAAATTCAGACACTTTTTTATTTTTTTTAACACTTTTTTCAGGCTGCAGCGACCCATGACCAACACCAGCATGCCAGCTACGCCTCTAGCGCAGGCACGTTATACAAGCACGTGACATTATACTTGGGCAAAGTCATCCGTGAGAGCACAGCTTTATGCTACATCTGCATCCGTACTCGTGATGCTTTGTCTGTAAAATATCCTGGTAAAGAGCCTCCTACAAACAGACTGGCTATCAATCATGAAATACACTGTGCAGAAGCCTTTTGGACGAGTCTCAAGAAGCGTATCTGTTCTGTTCGCAGTCACGAGATGATGCCACAGTACTCTCTGTCACGAAGAAGAGTTCCATTCATCCTCCAACCCTGCTCCAAGCTGTTCTCCCTCCCTCCCTTCTCCCCTGCACACTGATGTGAAGCATACTACGTGCTGCTCCTTGGCCTGGCTGTACTTCTGCAATGATCTTATATTTATGTAGTTTGAGAGGCCCTTGGAATCTTCTGACCCACATAAATGGAAGCTATTTCATGAGACAAGACCTTATCTCTTTAATGTGGTCTATGCACTAAGTATTTAAAGTAAAAAGTTGCAGTCTATAGGAATTATTGAGAATGCCCAAAGCTATTCATAACAAGTTTATAAAAAAAAAAAAAAATAAACACACATTAAAAGTTAGTTATTGCAGTCAATTCTCTCCAGCTGAACTTTATAACAAAGGGTTCTTATTTTCAACCTAAACGTTCAATTTAAAATTGAAACGTGAGCTCCCAGAGAAAATTCGTTTTTGCCAAGACATTTCATTGGAAAAATAATGGAAAGAAAGCAGACATTTTTTCAAAAGTCACTTATAAGAGAATCCAATTTTCTATGGAAAACAGCAGAGCACAGTTTCAGCCAGCACGACTGAACAGCCTCGCGGTTCCGATTCTTACAACAGATTTCTCCATCCACATGTTACTACAACTCTAATCACAGGAGTTAAGAGTTTGAAGCCAGAAACACACCCACTGCTATTTCTTTTAGTACGCCAGTGCCCAGAAGCCCTACCAGCACGCACGACTCCTGCGTACACACCGTGCCGAGCAGACAGGGTTTTCCTACAGAAACCAACAAGCTGGATGAGCAGTTTTGCCCTTCAGGGCGTGGAGATTAGGCCATAGAGCAATTTTTAAGAGTTTGATCTTTCCCTTCACCTCTTCTCCAAAAGTTTCCCATCCTGATTTCGCTCAGTTAGGACCTTTCCCTGCAGTTTATGCTCAGCGCTCTGATCACAGGGTGGGGGGAAAAAAGAAGAAAGGAAAAAAAAAAAAAAAAAAAAAAAGGATAATGAATGTTTTTGCGCGCTTCAATGCTCCCGTCAGCCAGCCCTCTTTCTGCTGCAAAAGACATTTTGTATCTTGCAGATATGAGAAGTCCTATAGGTGGTTTTAAAGGCAAAATAAGGCAGTGCCCAAAAGCTCTTTCCAAATATGTATGTTTGTGCAATCATTCTCTATAATCACATACTCTTTGTTAACCCAAATTACAAAAAAGAACCATCAATATGACCAGAACGTCTAAGTTCTCAGTAGTAATCGCAGCTGTTAAGGACCCCGAACAATACCATGCATCATATGAACAGCACCAGACACGGCTCAGTTATCGATACATAACTTTGTTCTACGAAGCACCAAACTTCTAATAAACGCAGCTGAATCAGAAGGTTTTGCAGAGCACGCTACAAGAGCAAGGTGAAGTGAAAATCACAATTGGTTACGTTTTTGCCACAAGCTAGCTGTTATGAAGCCTTGTAATTCACACTGAATACAAAGCACTAAGCACTCTTCCACCAGGCGAGGCTGGTTTGGTTACATTATTTTTTCAAGTTAACACCCCTTCGGATATCTTAATGGCATTATTCTGCTATAATTCTGTATTCCAGCACTGTATCCTAGACTCTCGGGTGTATTTGTACGGGACTAGTTATTTCACAGTGCAACAATTCATACTCTAAAGTGAATCTCTAATGCAAAGCAATAGATTTAAACATTATATGTTTCTTCCTCAAACACAAAGAACATGTTCAATTAAATTGGGCAGCCGTCATTGCCTGAAGCAAGGAACAACACCCTAGTGCCCTTCCAAATTCACATTTTTTTATATTTAGGTCCTTCGTATGAAACTATGCTTATCCTTGGGGATAAGCATAAGTTGGGCCTTGGGGGTGAACACTGTATTTCTCTAAACTTCATTTTCCCACATGCAAAGTGGATCCTTGTGAGAGCTGACGAGTCTGCACAGTGCTACACAGTAAAGGCAGCAAAAAGCCCAAACCTGCAAACCTCAGAGGAGAACAAATGGTTTGAAAATCTGGACGGGGTCTTGAAAAAAAGAAATACAGCTCATGCGCCTTCAATCAGTAGCTCTAAAAGCACCGTACAAAGAGCTTTAAGATCCCTTATCTGCTCTTCATAGATAGGAACATTTTTGTGCATAGCTTTGACTGCCCAAGACTAAACTGTCCCACGGCAAAAGCAATTCTTACCTTTGCAGAGCCAGTTTTGGTGCTTGACTCTCTAGACCACACTTCCTCCCAAAAACAGGCCAAGTGACCAAAGCAGCTCCTCACAAATGTGCAAACAAGCTGTGGTCAAGCATCTGCAGAGCAGGAGGAAGAGATCTCCTACAAGCTTTTCACTGTCCACCAGATGAATCCAAGCAACTCAGAGAAAACAAAACCTGAAACAAGCTAGTTACAAATAAATCAATGGCAACACTCATGTACCTTTTAATGATTGTCTTTAGATACCATTCTACTTCCAACACTTCAACCACGTAACGCTGGCTCCCAAGTACTGAACACTGACTCCACTCATGTATTAACAGAAGTCATGTTGATTTGCCAAATTCTGAGCTGCATGTGATCTATTTAACTCGCCGAACAAAAGAGGTCAGTCTCACTAGCCCCTGGTTTTAAAGAACAGCTTGGTTGCCTGTAGTGGCAGCTCTCTCCCCAGGCAGTGGTCCATAAATCCAAAGGAGAGGATGTTACAGCTGGAGACAAGATGGTTAGCAGAGATCAAAAAGATGGATCAGGAAAAGCCAATCAATCTTGCAGAAGGCTAGTGGGACAAGTGCCTCTTTAATGTCCCCTAGGTCTCCTCCATCTGTGGAGGATGATAAGCGTTTCTCTAGACACCAAGAAAGGCAACGCGAGCTACTGCAGCTGCAGCTTCCCCACAGGAACCAGGAAAGCATCCAGCATTCTGCGTGGCACACAGATGCCCTCCCAAAACCACTGCTTTCAGCCGGGCAGAAGTTTGCATTCCTCCTCCCCCAGCGTTTAACTTAATTTACACCCTGTCTAGAAAGACTCACCAGTACAGCTTCTACGTCCAGAGCATGTCCATATTCAATACACCTGCAAACAGTGGTTGACAAGAGCCTATGAAAAGCCGAAACCAAAGTAATTCCAGCTGCTACAGCAGCAAAGAGCTGCCTGCGGGCC